GTCATCAACTGTGTGTATTAGTTAGTTATATCTCAGAGGCTTACAATGAAAACATTTATTTTTCTCTCAGTATGATAGTGGTTTGGTGACAGCTCTACCCTGAGACAGGGGGGTGGAAGGGAGGAGGAAACAATGAAAAAGAAGAGAAAAATAACAGGAGAATTCATGCCTTTTTATTTTCTTTCAGCGCTGGGGTTTGAACTCAGAACCTCCTTTGGGCTGGGCAAATGCTGTACCACCGAGCTATACCCTCAACCCTACGCATTCCTTTTTTACTCCACAAGTCAGAACTAGAGTGCTGTCCTAGAGTCTCTCTGTGCTCTTACTTCTGGGTTGGCCAGGATAGCAGAGGAAGAAAGAAAAAAAAAAAAGGAGAGAGAGGGAGAGGTAAGGTAAACTCATAACAGCTCAATGTTACTTGAAATCTGGTCTTCTGTGGTCTGCCTGGTACCTCAGTATTTACATTTCGAAGTCCTCATATAGCTGCTCCACGCATTTTGTCTTGGTTTTATAACTCTGTTGGTGGGAGAGAGTGGGTAGAATGTACCTGTTCCACCTTGGTTGGTACTAGAGCCTCTTTTATAAATTTTAAAAACATCTTGTTAATTAGCACTTTCTAAAGAAAATAATCAATGGATTATTAATAGTTATATTTTTTGAGTCTTATTTTGTGACCTAGTTTACTTCAGTTATTATGAATGTTTGTGTGTTGAAGAATATGTTTATTTCACCTCTTCCTCTCATTTGCTTTTTTAGCACCACACCTCCAACCAGTGTGTGCTAAACTAGCCACTACCAGCTGATCAGAGCTAACTACACCCAACTCTTCCCAACTCCCTGTTCAGTGATGGCATGTTGAGAGTTTGAAATCAGCCATGGTGGGAGGATTTGCACCATGGATGTTGCAGCTCTCTTTGTCCCTGAACCAACTCCAGAAAAGCTGGTCTATAGCAATGCCCAGCACACCATCCTTCCTCCACAAACACTTTTTCTTCCATCTCAACTAAGACATGGCAATTTGCCAATGATTATGTACTAGTCAGGGTTCTCCAGGGACAGAACTAATAGGATATGTGGTATAAAAATATGACAGGAGATTTATTAGAGGAATAACCCACATGATTATGAAGACTGAGAAGTCCCATGACATTTTCTCTGTCTGCAATCAGAGAAAGCAAAAGTTTGGCTCAGGCCAAGGTGGAAGACCTGGGGACAAAGGGAGCCTGAGAGTACCAAGAGGCCACTGGTATAAGTCCCAGAATGGTTTTCAATACCACTCAAATAGTGGTTTTCTCTGAAAAGAGAAGTTTAGCTTCTGCACCAGCAGCATCAATGTCACTTGGGAACATGTTTGAAATGCGAATTTTCAGGCCTCATCCCCACTCCTAATGCAGAAACTCTGATGGAAGAGGATCTAGTGCTCATGTTTCTAAAGCAGTTAGGAGGTTCTAGTTCTGATAATGTTTGATAACCACCAACATAAAAGAATAAAGGATTAAGTTATTAACTTCCTAAGATAAGTAAATGAAGACATAAGTGCTCTTTAATTTCTTTCAGATAGGTAAATGGATAGATATTAAACAGTAAGATTCTTTCTACATTGCAACGGGTTTTATTATAAGGTATCTGCAAATTGTATAAACTACTAAACATGAAAAAACCAAGAGATACTATTTATTGATGTATTCATAAATAACTCTTATTGATGTAATAACTGGGTACATTGCTACTGATTTATAGAAAGATCCTACTTTGATTTATGTTTTTGTTTTATTACTAATGACCTTTGCGTGATCTTATTTTGTGAGGAGGTTCTTTGGCTTACAGTACTACAATATTGGTCTCTAAATGAGCCCTTCTATTGGAGTTCATTTTCTGCCTAATTTGCATCTAAATGGCTCTATCTGAAACACTGATAACAGGACTAAAGATAGTTTAAAGACCCACATCTATGGAAGAAAGCTTATTAGAGTTCAGCTTGAGAAGTTGTATTATGCCAGAAGATCAAATTTCCTATATAACAATTTTCTAATCTATGCCTTTCAAAAATATAAAACAGACTTTTAGGTTATTGCTCAAATAAGTAGAATTTGAATCTATCTTATAATAGCTCATAGGTAAATATATAAAGAAGGGAGAAAGTTAAAGCATTTATTTGACTACTTGCTAAAATATTTTGGTCTTTGGGAGGTGCCTACACATGTTATTTCAATAACCTATTAGGTAAAAATTATTCTATACATTCTTTGATAAGAAAACTAAGCCTCAGAACTGTTAATTCATTTGCCTCAAATCATAAGTTGCAGCCTAACCTAGGTCTGACCAACTACAAAGCCCCTGTTCTTGTCACTCTCACTTGTATACTGTACTTCAGAAAAACAATCTTTCCATAGTTTCTACAATTAAAAGAGAATCTCAGCACATAGAAAATGCAACATAAACTTGCCCAAGTGAGGGTCAGCTCTGTGTCTAAAGTAATGTTAATTGGTAGGCATTTTCTTAAAATGCATAAAAATATTTGCCATAGATTATTGAGACTTTTTAAAGTCAGTATTTTAGATTAGCTTCCTACATTTGGCTATCTAATCTTGTCCAAAAATGAATTTGTGCAGCGTGTCAACATAATGGTCACAGTGTCACAATTAGTTATGAAAATGCTGCTCCATGAATGTAGAAGATAGTCATGGCCACTCTCTTGCACCCCAGGTTTGCCTTGTTCCTTCCCAAGAAACATTAGAATCAGAGTCACCATGTCCTGTGTACTGCAGTATTATAGGATAAATGTTTAAAATAAAGTGCAATACCAAATAGATGTTGCTCATAGAGTGGGAATTCAAAAGCTATTTCAAAAGAATATTAAACTTAATGAAGACTAGTACATCCTGCATATGTTCAGAAATGGTTTTACTTGAATTGGCAGACTAAAGTCTACCAAAAAGGTATCCCTCTTAGCAGAATCATGTACTCTACTTAAAACACACACTAAAAAAAAACCACTATTCAAAAATAACTATTCTACAGGAAATATTTGAACCTAAAGGGAATCTAGAATGTTCCCCCAGCTAAACCTGTTCAAAACTCATATATACACTTTAAATGAATATTATATGGTTTTTTACTTAAATAGAACATCTCCAGACTAGAATATTTCTAGGAAAAATGGGTACCCTTTAAAAAATCTCTCTACCTTTGTCTATCTGTCTATCTAATCTTTATTTCACTTTCTAAAAGAGACTTACTTAGAGCATGACCTCATCATTTCCTTGTCACATTGAAAATAAATAGACACAGGTGACAAATATATAAGTTCAAAAAAGAAAAATAAAAAAATGGCAGCTATAAGTCAGTTAAGGTTTCTGCAAAGTACTCAATTCACTTCCAGAACTTTCATTTCATATACAAGCATTATGATATGAGGAAATCAGTGTCAAATGAAGCCCATATGAGCACATCTTATGACTGACTATTAATCAAAATGTGCTTTAGCTTAGAGAGTCTTTAAGAGACATGATTAAGAAGACTTTCCAAAAAAAAAAATCAAGTCATGCTAAAAGTGAATAAACAGTAACTAAAGATTGAGCAATAGAAAGGCAAACAAACAAAAAAGTCCCAAAAAGAAGATTAAAAAAAGAAGAAAAGAAAAAACCCACAAAAACCACTACCACCAACAAAAAGATTGAACAATCAGATCTTGATAGGTGATCTGCACAGGTGCTATGCCCATGCAGTACACATGTAAAAAAAATGAGCCCTAAGAAGGCCTTTATTCTGGAAACTGGCCAGGGGTAGTGATGACCATCTGGGAATGTTATGCTCTAAATAATTTAGAGGTCCTGACAAAACTGTATGTTGTCATAGGATCATTTTCAGCCATTGTCTGATATGTAGAGGACTTCAGAGAACTGTACTAGAGTTCTTATTACATCTCCCAAGCAATGATGTCACTTGCTGACCCTGTTGGCTTACCACTTCTCTACAAGGCCCTGAAAAGCAGTAGGAGTAGCTGAGATACCCAAGGCATCTCCTTAAGTGGTAAATCCTAGCAGAAGATAAAAGCATTCCCCTTCTTATTGCCACAGTTTTTAAGTAGTAGGCAATAACCCATCCACAAAATTAACATCTTGAACTCTTCTCTCCTCCATGCACCATCAGTCTTTCTAGAATTGAGCTACTAGTCCTTGGCATTTTGCTCTGTTGCTTTCTCTTGAGTAATTATCACAAGCTGAGCTTGTTTTAGTTATTTTTTGTTTTTTTTTTCCTCCTCATTACCAAATTTGAGGAGGGTATGGACTACGGAGTTAGGTGATGATTCCATTAACACAACTCTCTTCAAAAGAATCTTTCAGTTCATTACTCTCCAATAAAGTAATCTATTTAGGATATTGTTGAAATAGCCTTGAGTCACTTAACTTGATGGCATAATGATCTCCTGAGACTCACCCCATCTTAAATTTGTGTAGAGGAAACTTTTTTCCCCTGGCCTTTAGGCTTCCCTCCTAATTTCTTCCACTTCTACAGTATTGGAGAATTCCATAGATCTCAGTTATCTGTTTCAGATGGTACAATTTCTAACACGATGTCAGAAAATGGACCAAGTGGGCTGGGGATGTGGTTCAAGTGGTAGAGCACCTCCTTAGCAAGTGCTCTGGTTTCAAACCTGCCTGCCTCTAGGACCCTCAGTTCACATTCAACTTTCAATTTTTGCGGTGAGTGTTGCTAACTAAAAGACACAGAATGGCAGGTATCTAATAGTTCTCACTTCCTTTTCTACCTTCTACCTTTCTGTACTCTGCTCTGTTCTTCACAGATTGAGCTGCATGGACTGTATAAATGGGCTTCCTTAGCTTAAATGGAGACCCTAGATGGGAAATGGGGAGGGAGGTGGAGGTGGATTCCTTCCCTGTGAAGATACATAGCACTGGCTGACTGACTATATCCTACAGTGGCATATGCTGTCTCAAGGTGGTTGAATCTGACTCTTTTTTTCTCCTTGGTTTTAGGAACCCCTCCCTTCACTCCTCCCTTCAGGCTGTGTTTAGCTGCTATTAGCAATAAGATGCTGATGGCATCACCCCCATGCTTCACATATACTAATGCTTCTCAGGTTCTAACACTTATCAGAGTCACTGGAAAAGCTTATTAAAACAAGTTGCTGGCCTCTACTCCCAAAGTCTCAGTAGGTCTTGGGTGGAGTTTGCACATCTGCATTTCTAACAAGTTCTCAGGAAATGCTGATGATGTTGGTCTGAGTTGCATTTGAGAATCCATTTGAGAATCACTGCTCTAAGCAGATACCTTTGTTTACAAGGAATATAGTCAAACAGTGGATGGCTACCACTGCCAGGAAACCACTCCCACAATTGCCAACAGCTGGTTTGAAAGAGATAATTAATAGGCCTGCTTGTATCAGTTAGGGTCCCAGCTGGAAACAGATGGCACACTTCAAATAACTTAAGTCCCCACAGCCAATCAGTGAATGTGCAAACCTCCATAAGCCCTGGGTTTTGTACAAAGACATAAGCACATAGGTAAGAAATTGAATTCCACCCATCTCCATGTGTACTCACTTAAAATGAGGGACAGATTGTAAGGTTACTTCCAACTGGACACTAAAAGACCCAAGTAGGAATCCTTAGCTGACACTCTGCAACTTTTGGTTTTTCTCCCCAAGAAGACTTGGTGGCCTTGCCTTCTCCATCACAATAATTCATCTTTACTTAAAGCATGACTCTCATGAGTTTAAGTATCTAGGAAAGCTTTTTTGTGATGGATCAGACTTTTATCTTAGCAGCCCTATTTTCTTCCTCTGATCTATGGTCCATTTCTGAAGACCTGCTATAACAGGTATTTTCATTTCAACACAAGTGCAGTGTTTTTCCTTCCCATTTCTATATGTGAGGTTATATCCATTGTTGTATATTACATTTCTTCAAGTCCTTGTTTCACACATTGATAGTTATCAGGTTACAGATTATACATACATATATATACACACACATATCCACACATTTACATATACATGAACTTGTTTAATTATCAACATTCTTTTTCTTAGTTTTTCCTTCGCTTGGTGATAGTAACATATTATGGTGAACATAGAAAATATTTTAAGTTGATAAGCCCAAAGAGAATACAATCCACTAGGAATCCATTTTCTATATCAGGACTGGAATGAGTCGTCCTCATTCTATGCACCCATGAGTAATCACTGGACTTTTTAAAGAGGAATATCCTAAACCATATGCATATTTTCTTAAATGACATATTATTTAGTTCTGCTGGTTTTGAGCAAATTCTCCGCCATTAGTATTTCTTACCCATATTATATTACTAAGAACCATTCATATTGTTTTGCATACATTCATGGTATAAGTTTCACAGTGTGAAAATGGTATAATTTATGTTCTCACTCTGTTGCTGGACATTTGTGTGTTTTGCTATGAATTTCCTTAGAGCTGTTTCTTGGCATACATGTTAGAGTTCCTCCCAGGTACACTAAATCTAGCAGTCACATTGTAGATTATAGGATATGTGCTGATTTGTCTTTACATGCTAATATTCAATTGTCTTCCAAAGTAGTTGTGCCAACTTCCATTCCCACCAGCACTGTATAAGAGTTTCTGCTGATCCATGTCTTCACTGCCTCTGGTATATTCAGCATCTTAATTTTGGCTAATACTGTTGTGTAAAAGGATATTATATTAATGTTTTAACTTTCATTTCTCTGATGTCTAATGAAATTTCCTCATATATACTGTATTAGTTTCATAACAAATTACCTAGACTAGGGTGCCTTAAAAACAATGAGAAATGTATTTTCTCAAAGAAAATCCAAAATCAAAGTGCTGGAAAGGCTGTGCTCCCTCTGAAGGTCTCAGGAAGCCTCCTTCCTTGCATCTTCCTTGCAGCTTTTTGTGGCTCCATAATTCAATGTCTGCCTTGCCCTCACGTGGCCTCTCCCTCCATTCAGTGTTCTTATGAGGACACATGACACAAGATTTAAGACTCACTTAGAGAGGGGAGAGGGAGGGGGTGGAGTGGGTGGTAAGGGAGGGGGTGGGGGCAGGGGGGAGAAATGACCCAAGCCTTGTATGCACATATGAATAATAAAAAAAAAAAACAACCCAGGGCTTCACCTATGCTGGGCAAGTACTCCTCCACTGAGCTACATCTCCAGCCCCCCTACCAATTTCTTCTTTGTTATGAGTTATTAAGAAGTATGTTGTTCATTTTCCAAATATTTGGAGGGTTTTTCTAGGTATCTTATTGTTGTTGATTACCAATTTAATTCCATTGTGACCAGGAAACATAGTCTGTAAGATTTTAATCTTTGAAATTTACTGAGATTTACATTATGACCCCAAATATGGTTTATTTTGATGGACTTTCCATGTGTACTTGAAAATATATGTATTTTGAAGATGTACAATGAGATGTTCAAAAATGTCAATTAGATCAAGATTATTGATAGTGTTGTTCAAATCTTTTATATCCTTAATTGTTGTTTGTTTCCTTGTATAAATTACTGAGATGGAGGTGTTAAAAAAAAAAAAAGACTCAGATAATCCAGGACAGCTTTAATTATATCTGCAAATACTCTTATTCCAAAAAGGTGGCATCCATTAGAGATTAGGACACGGACATATACTTTGGGGGAATCACCAAATATTTATCATCACTATTCGTGTTTTCCCTTCTTGAAATATGGGTTCATCATTTTCCTCATTTCTCTATTGAAGCTTATTTTTCTACTTAGACTTTTCAAAATTTATTTTAAGACTTCTTATGTTAAATATGTCATTTTAAATCAATTATATTTATGGATATTTCCCAGTCTGTGTAATTTTGTTTTTAACATGGTTTCATTTGCTAAATGGAGAGGTTCATTATTTTCATGTAACTGAACTTGTCAATCTTTTCTTTCATGTTTAGAACACTTTATGTCATACATAGCAAATTCATAGTCCCAAATAAATTATTTTCTTACATTCTGTTCTAAATAGTTTAACAACTGGACTTGTAGCTTTACCTTTTAATCCATTAAGAGAAAAATTTGGGGTATAGTTTGGGGAAAGAGTGTAATTTTCCTTTCTTCCTTTCATCCTGCCTTGATCAATGTCTGGAGCAGCTGCAATTATTTTGTAAAAAGGTGACTGCAAGTTTGAGGATGAAAGGCATGATTTGACATGACAAAGGGACTTAGAGATCAAGTCAACATTTACTTGACAATTACCTTTATTACAGATCATAATTCAACATATATCATTTAGAATGAAAAAGAAAATCCAGATTAGCCTCCCTACTCTACTAACAGCCTGAAATACATGATATACTACAAGTCCTAACATACAATTTTATGTACAGCACACTAAAGTCTATCTTTAGGCAGGTTTAACTCTAACTACAACTAGCTGAGTGCAATTCAGGTTGCATTTTGAGTTGCCTGCTCACCACATGACATTATTGAAGAAAGTGGTGCCAAGAAACACAGATTTTTAACTCTCTCTTATGCACCAGGTAGATGAATCAGCATTGTGTGGTTAAGGAAACCATGGATATAATTGGTTCACTTCCTGCCTCTTCAATCAATTATGCAAATTAGCCCTTTGTGTGAGATAGTCAGTTGAATCTACAGTTTCACATTTTATAAACTGCACATGTAGACCCTAAAAGAAATCTATCTGAGGTCTCAGAAAACCTATTTTGCAAAATGCATTGTTCTTTATTACACAAGAATAGAAAAAATTTCTTAATTCATCATTTCTGGACCTCATAAATAATGCAAGTCTTCCTTTAGAAGAGTAATGATTGGAATCCAGGCAGGGTGGCAAACACTTGTAATCCCACTACTTGGGAAGATGGAGGCAAGTGGAGTTTGAGTTGAGGGCAGTCCACCAAAGTTAGGGAGACCCTATCTCAAAACTAAAAGGGCTTGGGAAGTTGCTTAGTGATAGAGTGCTTAAGCACAATGCACAGGGTTCAATTCGCAGAACTGCCAAAAATAAATAAATAAATAAATAGTCACATGCCCATATTTTTATGTACTCTACTGTCTTCGACTTGCTTTTGGAATGGCCATTTGTTCATTCAGAAAGTCTCTAGAACTGCATTGTCCAAAATGTTAGCCATTAGCCACATGTAACTATTTAAATTTAAATGAATTAAAATAAATAAAAAATTTGACTTGTCATTTTGCATCAGCCACGTGTCAGATCCTGAATGTCAACATACAGGACAGCAGAGACAGAACATCTCCACTGACACAGATGGAGCATTTAATCATCAAGTTCTTCTGGATGGTGTTAGTCTAGGTATTTCCTTCCCATCGATTTACATGTTAACTCATGCTGTTCTTTATGACTTACCAAATATTTTCTCATCCATGCTTTTCCAATTCCTTATAACAATATTTTTGTAGAAAGTCTTTATCCTAACTTTCTTTATTGATTGCTGAGTAACAAATCCCCCCAAATTTGGCAACTTAAAACAAAAAATATTTGTTAGCTCCCAGAGTTTCTGAAGGTCAGGAGTTTGGGAGCAGCTTAGCTGGATGCTCTAGCCCAGGGTCTCTCATGAGGTGGCAGTTAAGGTGTCTGCTAGGATTTCTCTTCTCTCACATTGCCACGTAATATGGTAAGGAACTTGCCATGCTGCAAAGCCATGAACTGTCAGCAGCAGGACTCCAACCTAAACCCTCTGACTTTGCACTCCTTTCACCTACAGCATCATTCACCTTCATTCATCTAGCTACTGCCCCAGACTTTTTAACTAAAACGACCTTCTTATAAACCAGTGACACAAGCGAACAATGTTAACTTGCAAATATTTCAGCTAAAATTCAAAGGGTCTCAGAAGCTTGGTTAATAACAGTTAATAACAAATGTTCCTCTTCTTTTCTTTGGCTTTTCAGAAAAGAATAGTTAAGGAGAATAGAAAGAATAGAAGGAACTAGCTGCTGACAATGTTTCTCTCCTTGATTAAGCTCTAATCAGGTTCCTCTAAGCCCTGTAGAGACCTTGGTATCTGCCCTTGTCAGATCTACATTGCCCAATTGTAGCAATAATCCTGTCAAATTTGTTTAGCTAGAATCTCCCATCCTCAATATCTGATCAAATTTCCTACTGTCTCCCCAACCATCCCCCA